GTCTTAGGGTTTTAGGGTTTAGAGCTTAGGGCTTAGGAGGTTTAGGGTTTAGGGTTTAGGAGGTTTAGGGTCTTAGGGTTTTAGGGTTGAGGTTTTAGACCTCAGGGCTTAGGGTTGAAGGTTAGGGATTGAGGGTGTCGAATCGAAGCTTTCGGCAAATATCCTGTAGTTTCTACGTGTGGCGCATTGAAGGTTCGGGTAGACCCCTAAACCCTAAACCCTAAACCCTAAACCGTGCAGATTCTGGAAGCTGAAGCCCGAAGCCTTGACCACTGCAAACCCTATAATATAAGCGCGACTATAGTGGCCTTATAGTTACAGAAATGTTTTGGGGGCTCCTTATTCTAATTCAAGGATAATGGTTTAGGGTTTAGGGTTTAGGGTTTAGGGTTCAGGTACCCGAAAACCCTATTCTAATGATCAGGACACCTACATTTAGACCCCCAATCCGCAGCTTTGGAAACCACCAAAGACCTTTACGATTCCCATGAGAACCTACACGACTCCAATTTGGCTTTGGGGCAAAGTCCTGGATACTGAGCCGGGAAGCTTCCTAAACCCTAAACACGAAACCCTAAACCCTAGACAACGGCTTCCCTCTTTTCCTGAAGCCGAACTCCATGAACCGTGAGTTTCTGAAAGGGTGTAGTTCAGGGTTCAGGCTTTCATTAACAGCTCGAAGGAATGCTAAAGCCTAGCTTCCTAAATCCCTCGACTAAGCAGGCGCTTCGGACAACATACAGCTTCAATGCGGCTTCAGAGTGTAAGGTTTCAGGTTTTTGGGTTTCGAGTTTGACCCCCGGACATCCCAAAACCTCAAGCCTAAACCCCTGAACCATTGCGCTCCTAGACCCATAAACCCCTAAACCGCGAACCCGGGTACATAGATGATAACCCGAACCCTACACCCTAAAAACCCTAAACCCTAAACTACCTAAACCCTAAACCCTTAACCCTAAACCCTAAACCATAAACCATAAACCCTTAACCCCAGCCTCAACACCAGATGAAGCGCAGTCAGTGAAAGACCCGACAGGTTACTTTAAAGACCGGCACTAACACTGTCTACAAGACCGCGTAAATGCTAGAATCCGAAACCCTTGAACGGTTTTGATTTAGTGTTTCGGAACCCTAAACCCTAAACCCTAAACATCTACTGTACAAGCGAGAAGGCCTTCAGCAGCGGCCCTTGAACGGTTAACTCTACGCGCCCCCCAACCTGAAACCCTTACGTAATCCCGGAACCCTACACCCGGTTTAGGGTTTAGGGTCTAGGGCAGACCACAGTTGTTGAGGGTTTAGGTTTAAAAGGTTGATAACCCTGGTTACTAAGGCCCAAGATCCTCTCACTAAGCCCCAAAGCGAATGAACTTGTGCCGATTTTGTCTGAGGCGACCCATTTGAAGGTTTGGACCAGGCAAGTGCTGTTGGCTCGGGTAAATGAATACGGCTCAGGGGCTACATGTAGAAGCCTGAGTAATTACCAATACTCCTCCCTAGGATGCTCTCACAAAACTTTCGCAATACTATAGTACAATATGATCCAAGGCTTATTCTTCTAGTAAGGCCCCTCTATTGGGGGTTTAATGTCTGCTGTTGAGGGTTTATAGGATTTTTGTTTTGTCTGATGCAGGTTTGTAGGGGTTGGGTGTTTAGCTTTGGGATCTTGTTTTTGTTTTGTATTTGGGTGGAGGGTACTGCTTGAGGGCTCAGGGTTGAGAGGGTTTAGTCTTTGGCCTTCAGGCATGCGGTGCCATGCAGGGGTCCGGAGTAACTAGTAATACTATCCCCTTATAGGCCCTTCATGAGCATAAAAAGATTATGTCCCAAAGCCTTATTCTAACTAAGAAGGCCCAGATATGTGGCGCTCTTTCCTTGCGATTGAGGCTTATTGGCATTAGCTGTGTGCTAGGGCTCAGGATCGTGGCAGGGGGGGTCTGGGTCGACCGAGACGCCGAATGCCTGTGGTCGGCTTAGAGGTTTGGGGTTTAGGGTTTGGGGTTTACCTGGAGAAACCAATGTACGTTTTAAAAAGGGATGTGACTTTAGAAAATAGGTGCTTTTATCTTTTTCAATGTACCTTGATTACTCTAGCTCGGGTTTAGGGTTTAGGGAGAATTAGTCTGAAGTATCGCATAATGCAGACTCCTGATTAACAGCCACCCTCCCCCTGCATACCCTTTATAAACCCCAAGCTGTAACTCTCAAAACCTTCTCCTGCCCAGTACCCTTCCCACGTCCAGTGCCAGCTTCCTCTGTTCCGACCGCCGCGACAACAAGTACAACCTCAGCGGCCACGGGTAGCCACGACAGCAGCACCGGTGCAGGAACGTCAGTATGTGTCCTTCGGACGATATCAGCTTGTCCAACCCCGAGCTAACGGGAGCTTGTGGGCATTCAGCACAGTTATTGGTCGCACCATATCGGACAGCGGTGATTCTTTTCTGTGCCGTTGTTACGGGCTTTCTTCTCCACACACTCGTCCCCCGCCATGGGGCGCCGGTCAGATGCCGCAGAGCCATCGCTTCCCAACTATGGGACGGATGAGTTGGCATCGAGATGTCGGGTGCAGCAGACATTGTGGCGCAAACGTGCGGGTACCTCGGTGCCTGCTGTTGCGCAGTTTCCTTGCCCTGAGCTTGTCTCACAGAACTGAGCCCCGACCTTGGGAAAAGGATGCAGTCTCAACTAGTCTTGGATTTGGAGTACCATACCTCAATCCCTAAACCCCAAACCCTAAACCCCCTAAAAAATGTCAGATCCCAGAAATCCTTGGCCCTTAACCTTAAACCCCAGCTCCTGAGCCCCTAAACTCCTCCACTCCGAACTCTTAACCCCCAACACCTCAAACCCCAAGCCCGAAAGTGGCTCCAAAGCCTTTTAAAAGCAGCCCAAACCCCCAAACTGCAAACCCTCAACCCAAACCCTAAACCCCAAACGTAGGCCTCATTAGCTCAGGGCGTACTCTGCACAGAGCCCCCGAGCCCGATCCTTGCTTCAGGCTGGACGGTATCCCACCAGCGCCCTGGTCGCGCCTTTGGTGCAAACCCTTGTGCCGGGACGGCAAGCTCCTCAGTCAGGGCTCTGCCGTTTTAGGGTTTCGGGCTCAGGGAGTAGAGAATTTCAGTCGCTGAGAAGGTGACTGTTGATTTGATTTCGGGCCTATACAACCAAACCGGCATGAGAAGGTCAAGCTTAATGGGGCCAAGGACTCAGCAACTGGGGATGGATGCATCGATTGATGAAGGTACCAACTGGATTGCAGGATTTGGAGTAAGTAGAGGCCGAAAGAGACAAGCCAGCTGAACAAACCCTAAACCCTAAAGCCTAAACCCCTAAAACCCCTAAGCCCTAAACCCTAAACCCAAAAACCGTAAACCCTAGACCCCAAACACTTTAAAACACAAATCCCTAAACACAAGGATCTTGCACTTGCGGTTTATTGGCTTCTCCGAAACATGTTCCAGAAAACACCATTTTTGAGCTTAGTCGTGCGTTTTTGCCGTATGAGTAGAAGCCTAAATCATTACCAATATTATTTCCTTATACTTTACTGTATTTATATGATAAGGTACCCCAAAACCCTATTCTAATTATTTAAGTCCACGACAATATTATGGGCCCCTGACAGCTCCAGTGCTGGATGTTTCACAGCTGATGGGAGTTGAATGTTGAGGGTGTTTTCGGTCAGCATGCCCTTCCTTTGGCTCTACCAGATGTTTCGGGTTTCCTATAGTTTCCATTGTAGTTCCTTTTTTGATTAACCCTTTTACAATATAGGACCCTACCTATGAAATTGGTTGCCGTAAAAAGGAACTACAATCGATTCAATAAGCATAAACCCTCTAGCCGATCGTTGAGTATAAAAGAAGAGACCCTAAACCCTCAACTTGAAACCCTAAGTCGGGGCAAGAACGATTTGGGTTGCACAGGTTTTACGTCAAAGTGGAACAGGTTGCCGGAGGTTTCAGCTTTGGCGTTTAGGGTGCCGGAGTGTTTGGTCACAGCTACGGCAGTTGACGCAAGAGCTTCCTCGAAAGCCAAATTTATGTTACTTGCTCATGAGGGTGGTGGCACCTGAAAGCATCCATTTGCACAGCCCCAATCTTCAAGCACCATGAACACATTGCTACCTACACTGATATTCAACAGACTTGCAGTAATGTGCCCGTGTGCACATCATTCCAGTGCGCCACCCTATCGGCGCCAGAAGTGCCCAGCACCCGAAATCCAAACTAAACCTCATTCACCGTTGGATTCCATTCCAAACCTTACACCTCCCAAGACCTAAACCCTAAACCCTAAACCCTAATAGCAGCAACACTCTGCCCAAGTCCCAGCTCGCCAAAAAATCCTTCAACGCCCAGTGAAACCTCGAAGAGAGAGCCGGAAGCCCACAAAACATGACCCCCGCCTGCAGTACTTTTCGCACCCGGAACCTGAAGCCCAACCCAGAGACTCCAATACCCCTTAATTAAGGAATATACCTTAAACTATAGTAGGATCCCTAATATGATGTAAGGTATATTCCTTCATCAAGGGGTATTGGAGTCTCTGGAAATAACCTTAAGCTCTTAAACTTAAATTAAAAGCCAAAGTAGGGCTTCGGGGCTCGGCTCGAAGCACCAAACCCTAAACCTTTAATTGGGGAATTATAACATAGGGGACCCTACTAATGCACCCCAAAGAGTAGGATCCTTGTTATAAGGTCCCCCCAAATAAGGTACCCTAATTTCCGGAAACTCCCAATTCAGCGTCCCTAACCCTAAACCCTAAACCCTAAACCCTAAACCCTACACCCTACACCCTACACCCTACACCCTTAAACCCAAACCCTAAACCCTAAACCCTAAACCCTACACCCTAAAACCCAAACCCCAAACCCTAAACCCCAAACCCTAAACCCTAAACCCCCAAGGAGCAACGTCTCGCAGCCAAGAGCCTCGAGCCTGGTGCAGGAGCTGAGGTGCGACCTCTATGGTTTAGTTTTTTTTTTTT